TTTACAATAATACGCTGAACTGCAGTAATTCACCTCAGGAATGACGACGAGTCCAAAGGTGAGACCAAATAGGACGAGATTCATGCCGTACATCCATCGCAGGAAGATGAAGTAAGAAGCGACTGATGATCCAAAGTGGCCTTAAGATTCAGAAACACATTTTTAAATGTGGTGTCTATTAAGTCCGATTGGTTTTCTGTTAAATCAAACTTACTTTCCACCTCTTTAATCTTCCTCTCCCAGGGGATGCAGGCTGTTCTGAAATTCTCAAAATCTCTCTGAAACTTAATCCATTTCTAAAACAAAACATGACAAAGCACATAGCCTGAAAACGAAAGCTAAATCAAAGAGAATAAGACTTTTTTTTTTTTGTCCAAACCTTGGTCATCATCACTTTGTAGGCATACCACTTCCTGCCTTTTCCTTTTCCAAGAGCACCTTCAAACTTATCCACAAATTGTTGAGCTTCCCTGCAGAGCAGCATAAAAACACTCAGCAAACTCCAACAATATGCAGATGATGCAGTGGTTGGTTTATTTTTGTCTGAACAGGGCTGGCCAGAATTTTTGGGTCCCAAAGCAGATTTTTCTTTGGGCCCCTGATACCAGCATGTAAAAACCAGATCCTTCATCATTCCAGCAAGATTGATATCCCAAACAGTGGCACATCAAAAGTTCAAAAACATTTTTCAATGTGTAATGACACTTAGTTATTATACAAGCTATCAGCTTGATGCTCTTGGGTGCCCCCAGTGGTGTGGAAATCCTAAGCAGCTGATTATGTTGCATGTGAATTGGGCTGGCTCTGTTCAAATTTTCCACCTTTGATCTCTAGACACAAACATTGAACAATCTGAGTTTTTATGACGTTACTTTAAAAGAACAAGCCTCCGCTTCATCCGCCAAGGCTTGTTCCTGATGGTGGCGATCAGTTTCTTCTTCTCCTCCACCTCCTCCATTAGCCGCGCCATCTCCCCTCTGACATGGATTCCTCCTCGTCTGAGTTCGAGTTGGAGTCCGACGAACTGCAAGAGAAATGGAGAGAAATTAGCTTTTAAACATAAAAAAGTCAAACATTCACTTTCCAGTTTAAAGCAAAGTCTGATAAAAGTGATCAGAAAATACATTGTAGTAGGAAAGCACACCTGTATGGAGCTATATTACAGTCATATTGATACATTTATGTTCATACACTTGCCATCCAGAAACCACTTGATGCATTCTTTTTGGTTGTGCAGGAGGCTCCACTTTTGCTTCTCAAAGATGTAAAGTTGTATAGCTAAAATCCCATTATTTAAGAATGTATTTCCTAATACAATAATAATGGGTCACCTTCAAATGACCACCTGTAATACTCAGATCGTCCACCAGAGGGCAGCATGTTTGATTAAAGGGGAGGTGGAGGTAGTATAATAGTAATAATACATTCTCCTACCTGTCACCCTTCTTCTTTTTTTTCTTATCATCATCTTTGTCTTTCCCTTTGTCTTTTCCTTTGGCGTCGCCTTTCTTTCCCTTCCCGCTCTCCTCTTTCCCTCCTTTCTTCCCTCCTTTCTTTCCTCTCTTTCCTTTCCCGTCGTCGCTGTCATCTTCATCACTGTCTTGGGCTTTGCCGCCTTTCTTCCGGTTTGCTGCTCCTCCTCTCTTCTTCTTGGGAGACTCGTCTTCGCTGTCATCATCGTCGTTGTTTTTTCCGCCGCCTCGTTTATTGGCGGGCTTCCTCCTGTTTCCTCCTCTTCCTCGTCCCTTTGGAGCCTCATCTTCATCGTCTTCCTCTTCGTCGCTGCCGGCCTTCTTACCTCTTCCCCTTCCTCTTCCTCTTCCTCCTCCTCCTCGTCCACCTGCCGGCCTCCTGTTTCCTCTCCTGCGGTTGCCACCATCTAAATCACATTAAACACAATATGAACTCCTGAGCTACAGAGGCAAATTAGAGACAATTTAGACTGAAAAATGGAGCAAATTTCTGCCCCAAAACTTTTTTTGAGATCAATCAGGTATTTTCTAGAGAAAAAAAATCTGAGTCTGAATATTTGTGAGAAGAATCTCAGAAATTTTGAGACAAATTTCAGAATAAATAAAAAAACTGAAATAAATTTCAGACATTTTCTAGAAATTTCAGCGTTAAATATTTGCTGGAAAGAATTGCAGAAAACTTAAAGTTAATTTCAGAAATTTTCTAGAAATACTTGGAAGTTTTTTGATAAATCTCAGAAATAAAAACTTCAAAATTGAAACAAATTCAAACTCAAAAGTGACCAAGTTTTTTTGTTTTTTTTTTTTTACAAATTTTATAAAATAAATCTCTGTCTAAAAGTTTTTGTAGAAGATTTTGGACTTTTCAAACTCAAAAATTTCTTTGTTCTTTCTAAAATAAATAAAAATTCACGATGAATTTCAAAATTTCAAATAAAAATTTCCATCAATTTTTTTTACTTTTAAAAATTCTGAAATTGTTATATTCATCTCAAAGTTTATTTTTGGCAAAAATGTACTCTTTTTTTTTTTCAAAAATCTACAATGGCCCTTAAAGCGCCGTCATTCTGAGCTTCTGATCCAACATAAAAGTTTTTTACTCACCATCGCTGTCGCTCACGTCTTCATCGATCTCGATTCCAACTGAGGAAAACCGAGGATGAAAGAAAAGTTTTATTTATTAAAGGATTCATATTGACAGTGCAGAATTGGTTTAAAAATATAAAACTGCAAAAACAAAGTCATATTTTTGTTTAGTTTCTGGTGCAAATATCTCATCACACTTGAAATAAGAAAAAACTTAGAGGTAACATGTTAGCAAGACATGGAGCTTCTTGTTTTACATAAATAATTTAATATTGATGAAAAAGTTCCACTGGCAGATTACTTCACATGTAAAAACGCATTTTCCCTTCTTATAAGTGAAATAATCTGAAAGTGGAACTTTTTTTATTTTACAAATTCTGAAAAGTTTTATGTAGAAATTTTCTCAAGATAACCTCAAAATTTCTGTTTTTTGTCCAACAATTTTTCTCACTTTTGCAGTTCAGAAATTTAAAGAATGTTTTCAGTAAATTGAGATTAATTGAAAAAATTCCTTATTTTTTTTAAACATTCTTCTACTTTTAAACTCCTGTTAGAAAAACTCCAGTTTTTTTCTAGAAAATTTCTGAGAATAAAAACTTTTTTTTATGAAATGTTTTCAACTTCTCAAACTCAGAAATTTCCAAGTTTTCTATAAAACAATCAGCGATCAATCTCCAATTTTCTTAGATTACCTCTTAGTTTTAGATAAATAATTCAATGAGCGACTGAATGAATAAATAAATCTGAAAAACCAAACTCATAATCTAGAAATATTCCCAGAACAAACAGCAGCATTTGAAATGAAAGACATGATTCCTGGGTTTTGGCCTCACCGTCCTCAGCCGCTGCGCTTCTCCTCGGCATGATCCTCTCTCTTCGGTCCCTCTGTCTGATCCTTCTCGGCTTCCCGCCAGAGCACAACTCAGGTGTCTAATAGCGCTGTTGTCATGGCGACGGCCGCACGCAGGTGACAGGTGTTCTGTTTTGAGGCGCAGATCTGAAAAAAGTTTCATGAATTTAAGAAGAAAAAGGTGATGAAATTAAAGGTCTGCTTTACTGCTCAGAGCAGGGGAAGTGAAGAGGTGACGCACCTGTCCAGGTGTGATGGCGCAGGCTTCCTGTCCTGGGAACAAAATGTTGGTAAAGAGTCTGAAACACTCTCACTCGGTCTGTCACCCGAGAGGACGGCGGCAGCCATCTTAAAGATTTAATGAAGGTTTAAGTTTCCCTGTGAGAGGCTCGTTTAGCGCTGTAAATACGAACACGTGGCTCTGCAGCTGAGAGGCTCTACGGAAGGCCAAAAGTGCCATAAATCGCAATTTTGGTTTTTAACACAAACAGTCATGCAAAATATGTTGGTTTATGGCTTGGAAAGCAGTAAAATATGGTGAAATCCTGTCAAAACTACGCATTTTACGCGCTGTGAGGTCTAAAAGTTACACTGTTTATAGGATCATGCATCTGAGAATTTAGTATGGAAGGTCAAAGTGCCACAAGTTGCACAATTTAAGTTTGGCTAAAAAGTACCAAATAAAAGCCATTTAATTGTTCAGAAAACTGTAAAATATAGTAAGACTGAAAAACTACATTCAAAAAATTACACAGTTTATTCTGATTGTGCAATATTTTGATGGGATTTTGCCATACTTTATAGAATTTTAAGTCCTAAACCGCTGTTTGTCTTTGCGAGTTTCTAAACAGATGCATGGTAAAGGTGCTGATTTGTGGCACACATGGCTTTCCATAGTTTCTTCTTCTCTTGGTGCAGTTTGGATCCTGAAGAGGAAGGTGAGAGTTGAGCTGCAGAACGCCTTAAAAACCAACAGAGTTCATGTTTCACACGGATAATGACTCGATTACAGTCATTATCCATGACTGTTCTCACAGCCAGCTGACCTTTGACACCTCAGGTGAAGACAAGGTCAGCCAAATAAATATTTCCTAAACAAAAAGCTTTTTTTTTTGTTCATTTTCCTCTAAATAAATTAAATTAAGTTTAACTGAGGGCAGAAATATTCAGATGGGATTGTGAGAAGAAATCCAAAAGTAGTTTCTTTTTCTCCTGAATTTCACCTTCAGAAAAGGTTTGATTGGCCACTAGATGGCGTAAAAGTCGCACTTCTGATAATCTGCCTTTAAACAATTACAGAAAAAATAGTTTCCATTCATTGGTCATTAATACAGGATCAATGTTGACTTTAATAACTGTAAAATGGAGACATACATGGTATAAATATACAGAAAAATCAGCTTCTGAAAGGAGATTCTTTTGTATTTTTGTAGTTAGGCTTAGAAGAAAATTGAGTGGCAGGAAAAACTGTGAAAACAGCTTGAAATAAATTTACTGTTATTCTACGTCACACTAAAAAATGACCAAACATTTGTTTTTGTGTATTTGTGAACATATTTATTTACATAATACAATAATGGAAGATTACACACACACACACACACACACACAGCAGAATATAAATACAATGTACAAACTTTAGATCTAAGAGGGGTTTAAAAAAAAGCAGCAAGACCCAAAACGAGACAAAACAAAATGAATGGAAATCATAAAACTTTCAACCACCAATCAGTTAAATCTTCACTTCCTGACGTCACTTAAACAACAGAGAAACAGGTGAAAGATGAACCCCTTCAAAACGAGTCGCACAAACTGCACACACGCTAGTGTTCAGGAAAGATCATTTAACGGCAAAAATCAGTCTTGGACGGTTTGAGGACTCCACTGGAGCCCAACGCGACCGGACGTGAAGCACAAAAGTTGGCAAAAATGTCTCCTAAAAGGAATCCAAGTTGTGGGACTTGGCAGAAATCCAGAGGCTCAAACGAATCTATTTTGCTACTCAAGCCAGCAGAGAGCAAGCGTAGACCGAGCCGACCGGGTACCGGGCAGATTTCAGCCCGATAGTCCAAGTTGGCATTTTTACCGGGCAGATTTCAGAATGTTAGTCGGAGCTGATATCAGCCCTTGAGTCCAAGGTAACGCTGTTACCGGGCAGATTTCATGAAAAAAACCAGAGCGGGAAGCAATCAGCAGGATGTTTTTAAAGGGAAGCCACACCTTAACCTGCCTCCTCCTCAGCTAGCATTAAAGCTCCGAACGCCACAGAAAAATCACGAGAAGAAGAAGAAAAATCATGTTAGCAGAAAACGTGAACCGGGTCGGAACCGGAGGGAGAATGAAGGAAGAGAAGCTGAGTTCAGGTCCGTGTTCTGAAATCTGCTAAAAGTCCAACAGAGTGCTGTGTTCATATTCTCTGGATCTTCTCGGCCACCACCATGGGGTTCTCCTTCCGGATCTTGGCAGCGGCGTCGGCCTTGTAGTCGTACGGACAGTCGTGTTTGTCGGAGTAGCGGTGGATCCCGCAGAACAGATTCCCACAGCGGCAGCGAAACCTGGAAGACAGAGGATTTATTGGGTCGGGAGCAGAACTTTAGACAAATACAGAGAAGAAAAACGAAAAAGAAAAAAAAGGGACGGCGCTGAAGACGGGTGAAAATATTTCATGGCTCAGTGGAGGACGGTGACATGCCTGCACTCGGCCTCATGCCCCCACTGCGACTTTTTAATGCATAAAATATTTCTGTAGAGTGAAATTTTCACTAACATTTGTTTTTGGATTGTGGAAAGATAGAAAAACAGCAATAGATCAAAAAGTTGAGTCATTTGAAGAAACTTGTTTATAAGCTAAAATGTTTCAAAAGACATAAAAATGTAAATTATAAACAGCACTTTAAGGAGACGTTGGCAGTGAAACCATCGTGTTTTCTTACCAGTAAGGCCGACTTTTTGCGACACATGAAGCAGCGCTTCTTTTGGGCTTGTCGGGTTCTGAGGGTCGACGTCTTCACTGCCAGCAGTGGAGGGGAGGGGAACTGAACTGGGGGGCTGATTCACAACTGGAGACACAAAAACAAGTTTTACACCAAGTTCATCTTCACAGCACATTCAAAATGCTCTGAATCATAAAGAGTCATGACTCTGATTTTAATAAAAGGTTAAAAATCAGCTGGTCCGTTTCTGGTACCAACCTGCTTCTGTGTCGTCTAGTTTGCTGCCTGATGCTGGTTTCTCCTGAGACGAGAGCCTCATTTCAGTCATCTGCTGCGTTACGGAGGCGGCAGCTGAACTCCCGCTGAGGAGGAGGAGGATGAAGAGCAACGAATCATGAATGAGAAAAGCCTTTCATGTTCTCAGTGTTTCCTCACTTAAACAGAATCTCTGTTAATTTTAATCCTCCGTTTAATTCAGAAAATGAAGCTGGAAATTAACTAGAATGTAGAAAAAAAAAATCAATAAAATTTTGATTTCTTGAGTGTCTTTTTGAAGGAAATTTCAAAATCAAGTTGTTTGGATATAATTTATTGTGAAATAGCTTCAACAGGAAGTTCTCACCTGAGAAGATCTGTGGCGTTGGAGGCAGCCGCCGCCGCTTCAGCGGCCTCCTCTGCGGCAGCGACGGCGGCGGCTGCAGCGTTGTTCAAAGTGTCCTCTAAACTCTGGATGGCCGACTCCTCGGACGTGGAGCTGCTGCCTGGTGGAGGAACAAGATGGAGGAACAGGATGGAGAAACAGGATGGAGGAACAAGATGGAGGAACAAGATGGAGGAACAGGATGGAGGAACAAGATGGAGGAACAAGATGGAGGAAACATCTACAGCAGGTCAAAGCGAGCAGAGAGAAGCTGAGGTTCTCACCGATCGGACTCAGAGAGCCGACGCCGCCGTTGTTCTGTCTCGACAGATGCTCTTTGTGGCAAACGGAGCACATGCCATTGGTCCTGGGGTTGCCGTAAAAACCACAGCCAGTGGCGCACAGCATGGGAACCGGGCTCTGATTGGTCTCCTGGGCCATGGCAAAACGTCTGCCACCGACCGACAGATCCTGGAGACGCAAACAGATTCAGGTCAAAGATAGGGGAAAGAATGAGGACAGACGGGTCACCGCGCAGGGAAATGACAGGACGGCCAGCCGAGAAACAAACGTATAGATTTAAATGTAAAAGTTTGAGAATAAAGTCATAAAATTTCAAGAATGAATTTATGTGAGAATAAAGAGGAAATAAATAAAAACTGATCATGTTTTTCCAGCCTCCCTGCTGCTCTATGTTCATTTTTAGACAGTCTGTCCCGGGGTATAATATCATGGCCGTCCTATAAACAGTAACATGTTAGCGTAGCCGCACCATCATATTTGGTTGCACCCAAAATTAGGTTGCTAGTATCTGAAGCGGCTGTACATTGTGTGCCGTTTGACACCAGGGGCACAAACTTCCAGAAACACTGAATTTAATAATGTTTTAAAAGACAGGAATCCACTTACATTGTTTTACTTATTTTTATTCATTCTATTATTTCTCAAGCAAACGTCAACTGGCTAAAAAAAGCAGAAAACATTTTCCCCTTACTTACAAACAAAATGTCATATATTTATCTCATTTACTTCTACATATTTGACAATTTATTCACAAATTATTTGGAAAGTGACTTAAAGAGTGAATAAATGACATCACTGACAGTGTAACAGTTTTACAATTTGTAATAGTTTATCATAGAAAATAATAATAATAATGTAATAATCAAATACAGAACAAACAATGAATGCATTTAAATCCAAATTATTGTCACTACACTGTAACACACTTAAGTGTAAATAAAATATTTCAACATTTAATCTGTATGACATAAATTGGCCAATAATTTAGTATGTTTATTGCAATAAAAATAATTTTTTATGCTTTGCTATATAAATGTGCTTTTGCTAAATTATTCTCATTATTTAGTGGAAATATGGAGTTCCCTCTTAACCATAATATTATGGTTAAAAGTGAAAAAGGAAAATTTAGAAATAAAACAAATTTTAAAGGGCCTTACATATTTAGAAATAGGGAAATTAAATGTATTTAAATTCAATTAAATTTACTCCAGAAATCTGGCTTTTAAAAGCCAAATTTGGTTTTAACTTAGAATCTACAATTCTGGTATTGCTTGTAGATTCGTACTGTTACTTTCCCCCCCAAATATATTAAAATCTTTAAAATGTGCTGCTTCAGTCAGAGGCTTCCTCAGATTCACTGTAACATAGACAGCAACAGGAGATCCTTCGTGGCCACAGAAATGAGTAACTACAGCAATTCTTTAAAGACAATAGTCAAAGTTAGAACATTTAATTTCAGTCTGGGATTAAAAACTGATAATGTAACCCATACACCAGAAGATCACTGAGACAAAAGCCTCTAATGAGGAACTCCATGACCCACTAGCTAGTCTCTCCTAGCTTTAGCATGGAGAATACCTGATTATATCTAAAAAAAAATTAAAAATTACAACCCTAAAACATGTTGGGTAAAATTTAATTAAATCAGTGACATAATTTGTTGTTTCTATTTGTTTCCTGATTTGTTTCTGGGCCACAGCCGTTTTAAATGTACAAATCCACTGAGTCATGCTAGCAGGCTAATGACCGATGCTAACAGCTTTTCTTTGAAGAAACCCCCTAATAAAAGTTATTACGACAACAGTTTTAATATTAAATTTACGTAAGAACTGTTTATGTTGAACTAAGAGCAATAACTTAAAATTATACTCCTGTTTATATACTTTATTCAAATAAATAAATGGTGCTAGTTTTGTTAGCCACAGGGGTAGCTAATCATTTTCTACTGCTAGCAGATTAACGTTAGCCAAGTTAAAACATGTAAAATAATAAAAAGTTATCACTTTTTATTAAACCTAGTAACGGTTATTGCTCAGAGTAAGTTGGCATTTGACAGAAATGTGGATTATTCGTAGAATTAAATCTCACAATTCGGACAGGTAAAGTTTCCGACGACACGTGCTAACAAGCCATTCTCTAAACTGATTTTTACTTTAACAACTTTCCACATAAGACTTATTTGTGTTTTCCGGCATTTTCGCGCACGTTGAGTCTATTTCTAACATTATTCTTTATGTGTTTAACGTTTAAAGCGGTCGGAAAATGTTTAACAGGACGGTTTTAACTTACCCTTTGTGATTGAGGAACGCTGCTTTTCTTAGCCGGTTTAGCGATCACGACCAAATAACCTGACTTATCCTGAAGCTAACTAGCTGTATAACTAACTAGGGCCGTCTAGGTGAGTCTTTTTCCTTTCTTTCCTTCGTTTCGGACGTTCCTCACCTTGGGGATGGTGGCTAATTTTGTTATTGACAGCCCCTCGGTCTGTAGAGCTGTGTTGGCATCTGTTTTGTTTTACGTGTTGGCGTTATGCTGATGGGAATTACGAATCGGTTTCGGGATCCGAGTCACTTGGCAAAGATCCTTTTAAAGATGCGACTCATTTTTTCGGCCTCCTCATTACAATAAATTATATTTATTTTAGTGATGTATTACTAAATCAGTATTTCAAATCAGAGACAAATAGAAAATGTGGGACCAATAAAAAAAAAAACATTGTTTAATTTTTTTAACCTACATGTTGCCTGGCTTGTTTTCTTTTAGTGTTTGGGTCTAGGCTCACATTTGGACTCTTTGACTTGCACTATATATAGGCCTACTGCTAAAAAAATAAAGGGAACACTCAAACAACACAATATAACTCCAAGTGAATCAAACTTCTGTGAAATCAAACTGTCCACTTAGAAAGCAACACTGACCGACAATCAATATCACCTGCTGTTGTGCAAATGGAATAGACAACAGGTGGAAATTATTTTCATATTTATTTCATTCATTCAGCTCTAGGAAGTGTTATTTGAGTGTTCCCTTTATTTTTTTCAGCAGTGTATATAAACTACGTTGGGTAAAATTTTTTATTTTTGTTTTATTCCGCCTTAATTGTCATTCCGATTGAAGAAATAGTTCATATAGATTAATTAGCATTTCCAACCGGATCGTCCACGACCGACACATCCCCACAGCCTGTGCATCTTTCTACTTCCTGTAGTAGACGTCACGGAAATTGTGATCCCGCGATTGGATGGCGGCCACCAAAGATTTCAACACCTTGCGAAACAGCAAAGCTGCTTTTCTGGGTTGCAGTTTCATGTTGCTGAGAATTAAAGGAAGGAATGTTCACCAGCCGAAACAGTGTTGTTGTTTGTTGATCCTGGAAAACGTGTTGTGAAGGATATGCTGCCACTTATTGCTGCAAAAATAAAAAATAAAGTAAAAAAAAGAATATATATATATATATATATATATATATATATATATATATATATATATATATATATATATATATATATATATATATATATATATATATATATATAGTTATTCATTTAATTTTCTTATGACATTTTTCTGACAATCAGCCGTAGTAAAGTACATTAAAACAATAAATAAACTTTTGCTTTACAAAAAGAAAAGAAAGAAAAAAGGGTACAAGACATATGATAATAATGTACCATTTTTGGCCGCTCTGGAACAGGAAAAGGAAATACGGCTTGTTGTCACGTCACCACCGGTTGTCCAGGGAACGCATTTAAAGCAGCTGCGCTCGACCAACCAGAGTCGCGGAAGAGCCAGCGCGCAGCCAATCAGCGTTCAGTGAGCGAGGATTTAAACCAACACTGCAGACCTTGTAACCAAACCAGATTCTCCATTCATTACGACTCTTCGCTTGTTTGCTGAAGCCACGCACATTTCAGAATGGCTCTGCGAGTGACCAGAGTGAGTGTTTTTATGCACTTTTATTATTATTTACAGTAGTTAGGAACGTATTTAGTTACCTCTGGCAGATATTTAGATGTGAAATGTGGTATTTTATTTATTTTTATTGCTACACGGGAATTCCCTTCATGCTTTAAGCAGTAAAGCATGAAGAGACTCAGTATGTTAAAAATATTTGTGCATTAGGGCAACATGAGGAGGCTCTCTGCATAGTGATTTTCTGTTGTTTCCTGCAGAATCGCCTGGCTTCCTCCAGGACCGAGCTCGGCGGGGTGAAGGCCTGCTCGGTGGCCGGACCCGGCCTGAAGTCTCGGCCTGCGCTGGGTGAGATCGGAAACTTCGCAGCTAACAAAGAGAACCCGAAAAAGGTGAAGCTCCTTATACATCCTCTTTATTTTCAATGCTGTGGTTGTCATAACACGCTGTGAAATGACTAGAACTCTGTTTTCAGTGCAGCCTATTGGCAGGCTTGCAGCCAGGGGCGCTACTGATATCTGATTGCTCTATTAATGGGGGTTTTTGTCAGCCATTCAGCAAATGTGTTGCATTAACTAGTGCAAACATGTGATAAACAACAATATAACCCTCTTGTTCAACACAAACTCCTTGTGCTGTTTGTTTTTTTGGACTTAAATCTTGAGTCTTCCATGCTACGGCAAGCCACCTGATCATAAAATGGCTGGGATGGGCTTGTGAAATTGGAGCCACATGCTCAGTTTTATTTAAATGTAAACAATTTTAGCTTTAGAATTGAATTTGTTTTGCTCATTTTAAATCTGAACAAGTCTGTAGGCATGAAACAAATGGAAGTTTTTCAATTTGAACTTCATAAAGTCTTTCTATGCTAATTTTTAGTGAGTTTTTCTTGCATATAAACCAGATTATAAATTTGAATTTGCATTTTTTCCCCCCCTACACTAAATATCAAGATGAAGATTATGCTGGTTTTAACTTGTAATGAGGGTAATAACTGGAGTAAAGTGTTTACTGCATGGGGGTCCAGTTCATCTACTGTAGACTAACTTTCAGTTTGTTCTTCAGAACATCAAGACTGATGTGGTAAAGAAGACAAAAGTCACAGAAAAAGCTGAAAAGACCAAGCAGCCGAAGCAAAATGCCGTCATTGCTGTTGAGCCCGTCCCTGAAGTCCAGGTGAGTTGATCACATGTTGGCGGCTGAAACCCCAACTTGTCCGTTTCTGAACGACTATCTGGGTTTTTCAGGTTCAGCCTGAGCCAACGTCTCCCACTCCAATGGAGACCTCCGGCTGCGAGCCTGCTGACCTCTGCCAGGCCTTCTCAGACGTTATCCTGGACACCGCCATCAGGGATGTCGACGCCGACGACTACGACAACCCCATGCTCTGCAGCGAGTACGTGAAGGACATTTACAAGTACCTCCGGCAGCTTGAGGTGAGCAACACAATCTCTACCCTGGGGACATGAGCAGAGTATCTCTGTAAGCTAAAGCGCAATGCTGAATGAATTCTGGTTTCAGGTCGAGCAGAACGTCAAACCGAACTACTTGCAAGGTCAGGAGGTCACCAGTAACATGAGGGCCATCCTCATCGACTGGCTGGTTCAGGTCAACCTCAAGTTCCGGCTCCTGCAGGAGACGATGTACATGACCGTCGGGATCATTGACCGCTTTCTTCAGGTATCTACAAACGCGCATCCTATCGATTTGTTTTATTTATTTTTGCTAATTGTTTGGTTGGCCCACCATCAGGACCACCCAGTCCCCAAGAAGCAGCTGCAGCTGGTCGGTGTGACCGCCATGTTCCTCGCCTCAAAGTACGAGGAGATGTACCCGCCAGAGATCTCCGACTTCGCCTACGTCACCGACCGGGCCTACACCACCGCCCAGATCCGCGACATGGAGATGACCATCCTGCGGGTGCTGAAGTTCCAGCTGGGACGACCTTTGCCCCTGCAGTTCCTCAGGCGGGCTTCAAAGATCTACGAGGTGGATTGGCGGTTCTAAAACCCCTTTGATGCAGATGGCGTTCAGTCGTTGACAGCTCTAGTTTGTGCCGCAGGTAACCGCAGAGCAGCACACATTGGCTAAATACCTGCTGGAGCTCACCATGGTCGACTACGAGATGATCCACTTCCCGCCGTCTATGGTGGCCAGCGCTGCTCTGGCGCTCACGCTGAAGATCCTGGATGCAGGAGAGTGGGTGAGTACCAGGCCTGGGTGATCCAACTCTAAACACGTGCCTCTTCAAGATGGCTGCCATTTTAGGGCCAACTAACTGGCATAAAATATAACCAGTTTTCATGACTTGAATGAGTTTTATGCAAGATTCTTTGATTACACTAATGGTTTATGTGAAAACTATGATTTAACACAACACTTGTCTAATTGGTCATTTTTAATGCTAGCATTAATTTTCCATGAATTTGAAAATGTCACTTATGAGTTGAAATGTTAATATTATAAATGCTGGCAAATTTAATGCAGTAATTTTTCTTGACAGCCATCTTGAATGTTTTTGGTAACTTTTTCTTGTTTCAATCAAAAGCAAACGCCTGGCAACATGTGAACTTTTGCTGAAGTATTTAATCTTTAAACATTTTAGCATAACACGGGAGATTAAAACTGAAATAACTAAACATGTTGAGCAGCTTGTAAAATTATACTTTGGTATGACTTTTTGCATTGTGATTAAAAATGGAAACGCTGTAGCCTGATCCTTGTAAGGGTCGACTTGTATTCAAAGTCCAAATGGAGGCTGTAAAACAAGATGGCTGCCTTGCTTCCATTACTATGGAAACCCAGAGTGCATTGGTGGAAAAAATCTGGTTTTTGTTCCAAAACCAAATCTCCCAGCTCTACTCTACATCTTACCTGGTGACCAACTCTACTCTCTTCACCCTTCAGGACGTCACTCTGCAGCACTACATGAGCTACACAGCAGAGAGTTTGCTTCCTGTTATGGCGCACATTGCCAAAAATGTTGTGAAGGTGAACGACGGTCTGACAAAACACCTGGTAAGTCTTCTTCCCCTCAGCCAATCACGACTCTAATCCTTTAAAACCACCCTAACGGCCGAATGTCTCGCAGGCCGTCAAAGGTAAATACTCCACCTCAAAACAGATGAGGATCGCCAACATCCCCCAGCTCAAGTCTTCAGTGGTTAAGGATCTAGCGAAGCAGGCTGCTCAGTGACTGGACCCCCATCGGCACGGTGTGCCGACTTGTACAGTGTAATCTTTTAAAAGACTTAATGCAGCTGGACAGTTGGCGTCCAAACAATCTTGCTTTATGTTCTTCTACACTGAAGTTGCGTAATCCAAGTCCTTCTGTTTTAGTTGACGTACACTATATCTACATCATGATTGCACAGTTTGAACTAAAGTCTTGATCCGACTTCTGCAGAGGACGAGGGTCACTGCACCACTTCAAGATGGCCGTTTGTGTAAATGTTCAGTGGAGTTTATCGGGAGGGATTATTTTGTGATGTGTACAGCAATGCTTTTAAAATGATGTGCTTTGTATTTTTAAACTTCTATTAAATGGTTTTGACCAGAACTTTGTCTTATACATTTGACTTGCCACTAGAGGGAGCTAGAAGACCAGATGTTTTAGTT